CTCTAACTACGAGTACGGGTACGTGGAACTTCCTTGCTCGCCCCAGAACCATTTGTCCGCATTGCTCTGAAAATTCTGTTCTTGCCAGATATTGCCAGTGCAACAACCTTGCCAAATGCCCCGATTAATTGCGAAAGTAACTGCAGCCAAAGCACTTCTCCAATGCTGATGAACAGGAGACCTTGCATGAGGCATGCAGCATGCGGGTTAACATTTAAGATTGAGCTTCAATGTCGCCGCAGCATGTCTGAGCCACAGGCCTATGAACAAGGCAACTGCCCAAGAGCAAAGCCTGGAAGCAGCTGGTTGCCAGAAAAGCAGATTGGCAGACAAGCTCAATGCCTACATTATCCCTTTCTTGCAGCTGAGCGACACTGCTTTGATCAATATCTGCACTTCCGGCCTTGGAAGCAACATCGACGTGATGTTGAGGATCCACTTCCAGGAGCTGACCGCGAGACAACATGCGGAACTACACATCTTGGTTCCACGCGGTCTGCTGTCAATCCAAGCCTCAACTATCTGCACCTTGGTCTCGTGGTGCATGCATCTGCCTACAGCTCCCATCGGGCTGAAAAAGCCGGCTACTCAGGTCAGTCGAGCTTCCCTGGGCTTCGCTGCTCTGCAGAGGCCATTCCCCTGTACCTGTGAGGCCCGGGCACGCCGAAGGACCCCATTTCTGCCTTCCTTGACTCCAAAGGCGGTGCCGCTGTTGTGGTTCTGTTTCTCAACCAGCCTGGCATGGCGTCATCTGCCAATGAGTTCAATTCGAGACTTCGTTCAGGTATCAGATGCTTAATCTCAGGCACTTCTGCTACTTCTCAACCTACAAGCCTCTTCAAGCTTGAAACAACCCCAACAACTTTACGGGCCCCTGTGTCCAAGCAGGAACAACACCTAGGGCTGGTGCCTATCCAGGGCTTCTGCCTTGATGACGGTTGTCTCCACCTGTGGTTGCCTGTGCCAAGGGGATAAGTCTTAAGTATGCGGACGCAGCTGTGCAAAGGCCATGAACGTCTCCTGCCCCGGTCAAGCACTCCATTAATGAAATTGTCTCCAAGCGCAATCACTAGCCAACCCACTCACAATATGATCCGATTCCCCCTCAAAAGGCTCTCATAGGCTAGGTGAGAGGATGCTCAGAAAAGAACATCTGCACTTCATGCAAGAAGCCCACACAGCATCGTTACCTGCTCCCGGATACTATAGTACCAGGATCTTCCATGCTTCATCGCATGGACGACAGAGAAGCAAACGGCCAAGACGCACATGCTTGACCCAACATGATTTGGACTACGGAGAGGGATCCAGTCAAAACTCGGTGCAAGCCAACATTTGACACAGAAAATGACCCTTGATGACCCTTTCTTAACTCCTGCTCTCCCTATGCAACCATGCTATACCTGAAGTGGGGCAGTCGGCCTTACTGGCTCAGCCTTCCGGGTCTGCACCACTGAGCAGACGTCCTGAGAATCGTGAAATTTTGGATTTTCAAGTTCTGCTGGTCCAAGGCTCGGCTTAAGGGGTTAATTATAGGTTTCATAGATTGTTGGTAAGCAGTTGTATCAGATGTGGCGAAATTCCAGAGTGAACTAACATGTTTGGTTGGGCCTACAGCGGCTGTTCATTCGAGAGCTAGCGCCAAATAACATCAACGAGCTGTCATCAATCCCCTACCTTGGACTGAGAAAGGCGTAGACCCATAGTGTGTACCAGAGGTGTGGAAACTACTTGAAGGATCAGGCTGATCTTGAGTTTATCTTTGGCTAGCTCTCTTGTCCAGTGCCTTATACTGCATACAATTACCCGCATAAGTCAGCACTGTATCAGCTCAGAGCTTCAGAAGATTTCTGCATCTCATGACCAAGGCAATATGTAACATCAGCTGCCAAGAAAGCCTAACCACAACCACAGTCATCTTCCATGTGACATGATCTGCTGCGCTAGTCAGCTTGAAGAAATGCGGGCTACCGAAGGAGCTTTTTAAACAGCGGCAATAAATGCTCGCCAAATCTCCGCTCGCATCGGCCCTACGAGAACTCTCCTTTTCTGACAGGCAGGCCATTATCTGCTCTCTGGGCAGGTCTCCTCATCTACGAGGTCTTCGCCGCACACCACCGTGGCTGCTGCAAGGGCGACATGCAAGTAGTAGCATCCTTCACCGGGGGTGGGGCTAGGAAGTCCTTATCTTGGCTTAGGCCAATCTACACTTTCCTGATCCCATGCTCGCTGTAAGGACAGCAAGCCAACGCTACGTTGTCTTAAGTTTCACATAAAGAGGTCAAAGCCTCGCCCGCCAATGCCAAAAGGCACGGCCACTGCCGGAAAACGCAGTGCAGCAAGAACCTTGCCCCAATGTCAGAGGTGTCTGCCTATCAAACCTTCTCATTCGAACGCGCGCGAGCCACCTATAGTTTGGAGTTGGGGAAGACCACCTACAACTAATTAGCAGCTAGCGGGATTTACTTGGGAGCGTCTCGATGGCCCGAACCATGACCCGAATGACACCCAAGCTGGACCCATGACCCATCCAAGTTGCTTCAAAGCTCAAATTCGCAAACTGCAGCAGCAGGAGGCAGCAGCCGCAGCAGTGCACATTGCCAGATGCCACAGAAGAGAACTGGGTCCAGCACACCCTAAACCCTATGCTGTGATGTAACTAGTTCGACAGGTCCTGGGCCAAGCAGCCGGGGCATCAGTCAAGCTTCCACAGCCTTTAGGATGGCTGTTGAAGGTGTGCTGTGGTGGGCGGCTGCGGTGATCATACGTCAGGGGCTTAGCTCTTAGAAGAAGAGCATTTCCTGCATGACAAGAATGCCAGCAAATTTTCCTGGTACCATTGCATGGAGTGAGCCTTTGGTGGGGCTCTTTGCGCCATCCATCTAAGCTGGTGTGTACGGGGCTTGAACTGTCTTCAGAAGTGAGTGAGAACATAGCCTTTCCAAACATGCCCATCAGGACCGGCTCCAGAATGTGTTACAGAAAATGAGAGGGGAATGCAGCCAACTGCGCTCGCAGCCAACTGCGTTGTCATCGCAAACGATGCAACATGTCACTGGGGCATCCGCCACATTGTGGCCTCAGCTGGGCATAGAGTAGTAATAGTAATAAGAATAGTAATGCGAGTAATGCTAGAAATAATAATGCTACTTGTTATGTTTATAATACTAATTACTACTTGTACTAATAATAGCCATAGTACTATCATGTCACTTATTGGCAGAAGGGACCAGGGCTGCTAGCACAGGGTGCAAGAATGTGCAAGGTATTTGCATACATACATACATACATACATACATATAGATATATATACATATGTATATATATATATGTATAGGGATAATGGAAAAGAAAATGGACACTGCTATAAGGGTAAAAGAAAATGGAAACTACTAGTTGGAGTTCAGGCACCATGAGACTAGGGGAGATGAGAAGCCTCCCGGGCACCACCTGTCTCATCAAGGACACCCTGTGCTCAGTTGTCAAATTGGCTGAGGCAAGCAGCTGCTCTGGGCAACGTCGTCAACAGGATAATTTTGGAGCTTTCGGAATAACTTCTGCATGTCATATGAGCCATTGTTTAAACTCCTAGTATCCCCCTTAATAACCCCTATAGTAGTCTCCAATATAATTCCCTATATAATATAGTACATATGGGCAATAAGAACCCTCTGAGCTGCTGTCAGGTTCTGCACACATGAGCGTTTGCTGAAACTCGCTGTATCATACAGAAGTAATCCATTGTTGGCGAGGGTCCCATCGATTTGAAAATGGAGGTATCTTTACTGATGTATCACTTCACCTGAATCATGTAATCACCCCTGTTGTTTTTGGGGAGGTCTTATCTGTTTTTCCGGCGTTTGGCAAAGTCCAGCTATTCACAGTATGTCATACACGGACCTCTCCTTAACCCGTGACATTGCTGCTTGCTGACCCAGGAGCTGCTTCCAGCGAAGACCACACCCACGCTGTGCCGCGCCAAAGGCTTGAGCCAGATTTTGTTTGAGAAAGGCGTTCCCAACTCTGAATCAAATCCTGCTACAGCAGACAATAGCAGACGTCAAGTACTCGCCCGCTTCATTTGTGCGAAAGTCATTCTGAGTATTCTTTCAAAAGGGCGACACATGTCATGACGAACGCACATGCCAAGAGGAAAGGCTGACGTTGAGACCCCCTGCTGTGCCCTACTTACCACAAGCTGCACTTTGGTTTTGTAATATAATGTAACATATTCCAAGACGTGCATCTGATACATACCAGGCGGATCTCCAGGACTCCTCGTGAAATGCTGAGAACTATTGACTGGATCGATAAGAGACTGGAGAGACTCCACGGCTGACATGGGCACCTCGCACAACAAGTTTTGATGCTGAATATTTCTTCAGTCTTAATTGAAAATATCTTCCGTCGGGCAGATTTCCCTCCTTTGGAGGACAGGCCCTCTGTGCATCTGGAGAACAAATAATGGCGGAATCGTCTCAGGAACAGGAACGGGAATAATGACAGAAGCAGCGTGTCGTGGCATCCGTGCTTCATCATTATCATGGGCATGTTAAACATCAAGACTCAAATAGGCCATATTAGTGGTTATATAGGGGTAATGGAAACGCAAATAGAAACTACTATAATGGGTTATAATGCCTCCTGCCCAATAATAAGGTCGAGACCTTGTGTGCCTGCATGTGTTCTATGGACGATTCGTTGTTCCTTTGCGACTACATGCCTCGGTCTCCGAGGCATGCAACTCCTACTAAAAAACTGAATAGCCGCCCGCGCTATCTCAGCTGGCAGTGGTCCGAAGCTGCCTCCAGCAGAATATCATAGTATATTCTAGTAGATTATAGTAGATTATAGTACATATTCCAGTAGATTATAGTATGTATAGTATGTTATAGTATATTCTAGTGGATTATAGTGTATCAGAGTAAATCTCAGTATATTATGGTACATTATAGTATATTATAGCTCTATGCACGCGCGTAAACAGTGCAGCCTTGAAGTCATCTGACAGTTGCGGCGCTGTAAAGCGCTTCCTGGCGGCAGGTTATTGCCATAGCGAGTGGAAATGCGTCTGCGGGTTGTGGATTTAGAGATGCTGCGTAAGGATGTTCAGGTCAAGTTTTTGAAATGTGCTACACACATTCAGTCTTCTCTGACCGAGGCAACAAATCGTTTGGGATCTGTTCAGACACTGGGAATCCTCAGATTGAACCTCAAGTCTGAGGAAGCATCCAAGGGGGACGACGTTTTTTGGCGATTGGAACCTGTTTTCCACTGTGCCTCGTGCGGGTCGTCCTCCTCCTGCAGCCCAAGGCGCCTCAGTTTCAGATCGGCGTCCATCAAACAGCAGTGTATGGCAAAATTTCATGGCGAGTGTGAACCCCAACCAAGAGCATCTCGTAGCTGAAGTCCCTTGTCTCCGCTGCCAGGTGTTCTGGACATTTTGCAACCAGGAATCCGCTGCACGCTTGTGAACTGCTGCTGCATCCTCGACAACACTGAAATCTCACAGACATGCTAAATGCACTTTCTAAAGCTTCTGAAGTTCATGCCCCTATGGCGGCTTCATAGTGCAGACAACCAGACATGCAATACTGCTTCTTTTCAAAGGTTCCACTTATGACACACATATTGGCACCAGAAGCGCAACTTAAAACATACTAGCCCGGAGGTTGCATTCTGGACACATGACACTCTCAGAACTGCCTTCTAAAGCCCGCGAAAGTGCCGGTGAAGGTGGCATGTGCCTTAGACCCCAAAGCAGCTTTCTGGTATGTTCTGCGGCACGTACGGAAACACAAGTCAGTGCTTCACATCTGAGCCTCCAAAGGAAGCTCCGAGGCTCGCCGCTGTCTGTCTAGAATCACACTACTTTGACTTACATGGGGGAGTATATAGGGATGGCGGAAAATAGAAAGGACATTGCTATTTAGGGTTTAGGGTAAAGGCACGCCAGCTTTCAAGGATCCCAGCAATCGGTAGCAAACTCTGACAACTTCATACACATGTAGCATCCTGTAGAATTTGCGGCCCGGACTCAGAGGAAACTACATAACAGCGGCCTTGCGCAAATTGAAATTGGCAGTCACCCCATAAGGGCTCACCCGCAACTTACGAGGAGTCCAGAAACCCTGAAATCAAACCTTAAGTGGGGATCCTTGCTCTAAACAAGCTGCTATTCGGCTTCCGAACAGCTTGCCCATGCCTAATCCTATGTTCTAGATACTCTCTTTGAGTCTGGGACAGGTTTAAGCATGATTCTTGGAACGAGCTCCAGAGCCTAGGCTTGACTAGCAGCATCTGTTACGGCGAGCCACGCGTCGCCACAGGTCAACGAGAATGACGACACATACAGCGCCGACGAGCGCGAAGACGTAGAGGTAAGAAGCCAACTCCTTCATGACCTGGAGCAGATCTCTTCTTCCAATTTGAACATGTCATGCAACTGGCTGGGGGAAATAAGGCAGATTCATCTCGCGACAGATAGACGTTAGGTCATTGATGATTAATGCTACGCCCTCCCTGAAGGAAACGGGTCAACTGGCGTCCCTGTGATGTTCAGGCGGATAAGAGCCTGCCCAGCTCCTCGAGCGGTGCTAAAACACAGAACATGAACTCCTGCAGAAAATCCTCCACATACACGACGTTTACCAAGGATTTTTTTCAAGATGGATGACAACTCGAACTTAGCCCGAGGTGGTATGTTGTATTTTGCTCTCCTGAAAAAGGCTCCAGTGTTCCGCGGGGTTGTTGAACCCTACAGCAAGCTTTTGCATACAGAGTGGCTAAACAGGAAACTGAGTCCTACTTCCAGTGTCCAGCTATCCCTTCCCAAGTGTAGGCTTGATCAGTCGCACTAATCACTCGCTTAGTCTCCGACCTATATGTCATTTCCAGACAGGCTGCCACGTACATCAGGTACTGTGTACCGGCTGTTAGTATTTGCCAAACGATTGAGAGAACCACATGGCTGAGGACCACAACCCAGTCGTGAGTTGGGTTACTGAAGCCTGAAGTCTCAACCGAGGTCACCACAGGTTGGATCAACCTCCCATGCCACATGATGGCAAAGACGATCGCAAAGAAGAAGAGGATTCCCTTTGGCAGCTACTTTTATGCAGTGCGGCTGGATGGGGTGAGTAGTGAAATCAGGCTGGTTCACTAAGAGGCTCCGAATGACAGGTCCGTATGCTGCATTCTGCAAAACTCCCATTCAAAAATCCTGAGTAAACACAGAGAGTCTGAGCCGCAAACGCACATGGAGCGTCGCGTCTCTGGGTCAAGGTGCATGATAGCTGTTGGGACGCTCCTCAGGACGGACGGAAGGTTGCATGCATTCAGAGGCGCTTGACTATGCGAGACTGACTGAAAAGGGCAGCTTGGGCTCTGGAACCTTCAACTCGCAGGAACACAATGAAAAGTATGGGTCCAGTGCAGGCTGCCGCTGAGGCGAGGGCGCCAGAGTCAGGAACATGTTGAGAGGGATGGAGAGGAACCCTCCACTCTCCTGACCACAGGCAAAAAAAATGAGCTCAAGCCTTCGGATGCCTTCAGATGATGCTTTGGGAGCAGAGAAAGTGCACTGAATAGAGAGTGAACTGATTACGTTAAATGTGCAATAGTTTGCGCCTCCCTGGCAGCCAGAGTTTTCCACGAGATGTACTTACCTGGCCAGAAGTAAGAATGGCATTGCTGGAAGTGCACCACCATGAGGGCTCTGTTGACTGGGTCTGGAAATTTCTTGTAGAGCGTTCTCAGTACCGCTACAGCAGCCATTCGGCAACCAACGTGAGTTCTTCTTGTCGCCAATACCAGCACCGATGGAGCTGAGAGCAGCACTTGGCGAATGGAATGTCAACTTGGCTGCGCACGGATGGTCAAAGCAATTTAATATAGCCTCCAGCGACGTTCACGCACCACATCCCGTCTGGTGCCTTTGTAGCAGTGTAGCACCTGTCTAGTCATTGGCTAGTCATATCCCTTGGCGCACGACGAAGTTTAAAGGACTCAATATTGCTGCATGGGTTGTTCTGGTAAGCAGCCGCTGACCACATTAAAGTTGTGAGCCTGTGCCAATCCCCAACCATGTTGCAGTCATCATTGCAGCCATGCTTCCACTCCACACCACAGTCCCAGCAGACCTGCTGCACTCAAGGCAATTGTAGCGACCGTTGCTGTCGTGACTCTTCCTTTGAATCACGAGATTCATCAATGTCTGAAAGGTCATGCTCTAAAGCTTGAGGGCCTAAGCTTGCGGCAAGCGCCCAGGAGATGCACCTGAGGTGCCACAGAAAGAAGCCCTACGACTACAAGGCGCTGGAGGCTTTTGCAGTTGAGCTGCACAGCCTTGATCACGATTTGTACCTCAGGCCTCAAGTATCGCCACGCACAACATGCCACATCCCTGTAGCACCCCACATGCAATTTGTTAGATCTCCTTTCATTACTTTCATTCATCTTATGCGGTATGCGTGTCATTGCATGTCACGCATTCTGGCAGGGGGCCGCGCGTGCTGGAAACAAATGGATTTCCACACACCCCAGGCCATGCATGTCCACTCTTGGACTCTGGCGACAAACTGTGGATCCAATCCTTGAATACCTCTACCTCAGGGCGATTCAAGGCGCAGACTGCCAAAGGGCCACTGACGCGACTATGCATCTGATACAACCGGTCTCTTGCATCGACCAAGGGTAGAGCCATTACCACGAAAACAACATGGATTTTTGATGCACACCGCTGTGACCTTCTCTGTCCAAAGATCTTGAAGGTATCCTTATAAATCCCAGTATCTAGTTCAAGTTCATTATAGACTTGCTTTGATTCTCCATGATTGCAACTCACAGACAGGCTTCCCCAGGTCTTGAGCCCCTGACACGGCGAAGAAGCACAGCGCTTTCATCTTCCTTCTCGCTGAAGGCTGCGCTCTGCCCCGTCTTACCCGAGTTTTCAACCAGCCTGACGGGAACTTGACAGTATTGGCTTATGTCATGTCTTACATGCCTGTGGTTATCATGTTGTCCCTTGTCAGTCTTCTTGAATTAATCCAGGTTGAACTTGTCGTTGCATGGGCAATTGAACAGTTTAAGCCAATTGGGCATGTGCTGGAATCAGCTTAAGTAGCAAAAGCGGTTCGACCAGAACAATGCGCCTATGGATCGCTCAAAGGACCAGAGTTTTAGCACATCCTCTGCCCAACGTGCCTGTCTAGAGCTTCTGCATTGATGGCCATGGTATCCATCCGCGGGCTCCTCTTTGTCATGGGAATGCTCCCCACTCTGAAAACTAGGTCGTCATCCGGCAGGGTGTGAGCCGGACTGGTGGTAAAGTGAGGTGATACATGCTCCCATGACTTCAGTAGCAGCATTAATGTACAGCACCCCACACCTATGTCACCGAAAGGGGTGCAAGTGACGGGAAATGATATTATCTTTTCCTTGGTTTTGGCCTTCGTTGATGCTGGCCTATTGTGGCATACTGCTGGGAGCAAAGTCAACATTTTTCGGTCAGGAGTATACGTGGACAACATTGCTACTACCGTTACCAGGAAGCCTTCAAGCTCCTAATACCTGCCCTGAACCCTGCGAAATCCTCTCCAAACGGCTGCATGAAGCCGCATGGAGCATTGAGCCCACTATGATTTGTCAGCCCAGCATATCAATCCTGAAGAAAGAATTGCGTGAACACGCAAGCTATCTAATGCTGGCAACGCTGAGATACTGGCGAACACTTCAGGATCTGCAGCCCTATGGCACTTGCAACACTTCATGTTATAACTCTCAATCAAAAGATATTAGAATTGTCTTTGGATGTGGGTATTAACCATAAATTACCCCTAACTTCATCACTCTCAAGTTCAAGTTTTTGCATACTGGCTACGTAACTTCCAGACAATTTTCGTATAGCATTCACCCACATCAGCGATGTTACCCCTGAAACAAGCGGGGCCTCTTTTCTGGCTCGGCCTTGCGGGTTTGCATCGATGAGCAAACATCCTGAGCCCGAACTACAACTCATTAGGGCGAAAAGAGTTCTATTGTCATGATAGCCTTCGGTGGTTGGCAGGGACCGCAAACAGTAACAGAAAACGAAGTGCTAAAGAAAGAGAACTGGAGTTCCGAGCTCCTACGCTCAATATTTCTTAGGACTAGGTTGCACTATAGCAGTCTCTGACAGACACAATGTATAGCACGACATCCTGTCACATCCTCCTTCTGAGTTTAGTGTCCCAGCTTTCTTTCTCCTGGCCAGCTTGGGGGATGTCGCACACACTTGCGCGACTCCAGTATCGAAAGTTGGCTGCCTTTTGACTACATAGATTCCCAAAACAGGAGGACCCCAATATAGACCCTGAAATACGATTCTTCTTTTTTCTAGGGATCCCCAATAAGGTATCCCACATTTTGTCTGAATTTCCCCTGCATCAGTCACCAAGATCCAAGATTCCTCTTCAGCTTGAGCTCCATCCTCCACGTTGGCTGTGCCCAAGGCAAGATGCAGGCAGCAGCAGAATCCTGCAAGGGGGGATGTGATTACAATATACCCAAAGCCATATTCTATCTACTTGAGGGAGACTATAATTTGAGGTTGTGAAGTTGTTGGGATCTGCAAAAGGATTCTGCCTCGGGGTTGATACACAGTAACATAGTATTCTGGATTCTCCGGAAGTTCCGGTCCTCCCACGCAAAGCAGCCACCGCAGCATCGGTCAAGCGCGTTTTATGCGACCTTTGCACAACGAGCGTTCAACGAGACTCCAGCAGAGACTTGGACACAGCAGCACAAGCAATTTTCAGTGGCATGGTTTTAAGACCGAGTAAGTCAGTAAGCAAAGGTGCCGATCCTCCGTTTGAGGATTCAGAACCAAATGCAGCACACCTCTGCCGACTACTTCGTCTGACCAAGCGGCATCTGCCACCCACCATGGCCTTAGCACAGCATCGCATCATGATCTTGGAAGCCTCTCTTTTTTACAGGTTTGGGGCGAGAATGCCCTACGTCGAGGACATCTTGCATGTCACTTTGCATGTTCCAAAGCTTCCGTATCTCTGCGGACCCTGTCATTGCAACATCCGGCACTGCAAATGCGGATCAATGCCAGGGAAGCGACGGACCGCTCTTAAAGAGGTTCGGTTTCAGACGCCGCGCCGGGCGCGGACTTGGGCCAAAACACAGTGTACGCTATCTGGCAGGAAGTTGGGAGTGCCAACAGGATGTTCGTCGTGTCGGCGCGTTGCTGGTAAAAAGGCGTTTGTCTGCGAGAGCACGACTGCCTGTGAGACTCATTCACAGCACACGGCCATGATGACTGCCTCAACATTGCATCCAGCTTTTCTGAAAACTGAATGCCCACAAAGGCTTATCGAGCTGCGACTTCTTTGGTCTCACGCAATCAATCACGCATGTGCCTATAACAATGGTATTCGTCTAGATAGTCCAGGGAGCGAAGAAACTCATAATTCTAGATTGCTTTTTCCTGCCACGACCGCGAACTGAAGGGCATAGGGCCAGATACCAACTCCACTTCAACAGGCGAGAATGTTTAACAACACATCATTGTAAACAGAGTCCAAGCGAATTACAGGTACTATACAGGCTCTCTTTCAATAGGGTGGAAGCTAGCAGATTGGATACAGTACCACGCCACTGGCTGGCGGCATTACAGTGGGCACTTCGCGTTTGCAGCAGCTGGGATGACCTACGCCTTGCATTAACAGCTCAGCCGCGCTGGCAGCTAGCCTGACGACCTGCGTCGGATATTGGCTTGACTTGGACACTGTACAGCGACAGTATCCAAGCGAGGCAATTGTAATTGTTGGAATGCTGCAGTGTCATGAGCCTCAGGAGCAACTCCAAAACAGAGTCCGCGTGTGTAAAGCTAAAAACAAGGCACTATCATGGAATTCAGAAATCCGGAGTCTAGACTGATCTCAAATGTCGCTCTTGGAAGACATCCATGAACGCGATACTGAGTTGTTGCAGGGTGTCCGCGCGTCATTGATTTGAGGATTTGGTTTGTTGATGTTATGGCTTTTACAGCCCCCTGCGCCTGCATACGTGGTTTAAAGCATGCCGACCTGGGAATCTACGCAAAGGCAGCCCCTCGAGCACCCTCGTCTGCAAGGGGCCTCTGAACCCTTTTGAACGGGCCTTCGGGCCTTCGAAGCCTTTTCCGGGGGTCTCTAACACTTGCTACAACCTTTGCAAGTGGCCTCTAAAACCTCTCCTTCCACTCCACCCTACTTTCCACTGTCCACTTTCCAATGTCCAGCCCGCTCTCCATCTCGACCCCACTCTCCACCACTCCCTGCTCCACTTTCCGTACCACTTTGCACTCCACTTTCAGCGACAACAAGTACGGCGATGGCGACCCGGAGTGGTCCCTGAAGCCACGCTGCCAAAGAGACAGTTATAGAAGTCTTGGATAACGATTGGATTTCCATGCCACTTGCGTGTGACGAGTCTGCTTTGACGGGTCATGGCTCCTACCAGGCTCTTTACAGCGTCTCGCTGTAGTCTTAAGCATAATTCAAATGCGTCGCGGATCAAGAACTATTTTGTAAGGTTTCGAAATAGACTTTAAAACACATCAAAACAGCGGTTTTACCACGAGCCTTCTTGGGTTTTCGGTCGTTTTCCATGATTGGTATTGTTGGACCAAGGACAGTAGCTATAGGAGTCCTTCAAAGTGGTACATCAGGGAACTGGAATTTCTGGGCCTGACTACTTGGAAGTTGCTCAAGCACACTCTCTGCAGAGCCTATCACTGTCCGGAATTACTGGCGGCCAGAAGAAAGAACCCAAGGAATGGGTTCTAGGGACTGTTGTAAGGAATTGCACAGGGACTGCAGGGATCCATTTCTCCATTCCTACTGACCATCAGTCACTCAATTAGTAATACATGTGACTACCAGATTCTCGCCACAACGCTTGATACGAGTACCCCAGCACGGAGATGAAGTTTCAGGGAGTCGTGACTCGTCGCATCGCGTGGTTCATCGAAGGTTTTTCAAAGGATGGTTTCTTTCGAGGTCGCCTTTACAAAGCCTATCACCATCCCCAATCGCGCCTCTACTATCTACTAATTAAGTGGTAGTTGGTAGGGAGTGAAGGATTCATTTTTCCGGACTCTTACGGCAACTACGAGGACCCATTCCTCAGTTCTCAACTGACCACCAATGAGTCTACTGCAAGACAGTGTGAACTCCCGATACCACAGCACCAGATAGCGCCAGGATGGAGATATGATAATTGCTCAGGAAGGGTAAAAATCATTCCATAGCTCATCCGTGTACAAGTTAGACTTTGGGGGATCAAGGTCAGTATGATGACGGCACGGACGCGCAGTTGACAGTATGCTCTCCGGGATGGACGCTATTGCTTTAAGCATGCATTCGCAGAGGTGACCGTATGCTCTCTGCGATTTCTGTTAATATGGTTTCATCCACAACAACAAGAACAGCAGCAGCAACAACAACAACCACCTCTATTACGACGACTATTGCAAGTATTGTGATTGCGAAAGCGACTATGACGAGCATCATGACGACGACGACTGCTTGCAACTCTACTTGGCGGGTCTGAACATGGGTCCGAAACCTCGCGCTTTTGTGCTTGCTTGTCTCGCATGGTTAGAAATCACCTTTGGGATTGGGGTGGAGTGCAATACTTGTATTATCATGTGTGAAGCTCTCTGACAATTGCCAGCCTGACGTGGTGGTAAGGCTGTATGGTAGTGGCTGCGCATAGAAGCATGTTTATGTCGCGGTTGTTTTGAAGCCGAAGTGGAGGTATCATTCAGGGCACTTGTACGCGCATGCGATTGAAAGAGCACTCATGCCCAGGCTGCGATTGCGGTTGCAATCTTGTTGTTGCTGTTGTGGCTGCTGTTGTAATTATGATACTTGCTGTGCACTCCTGCCTGCATCGTTCTCACCACTTGGTCTCGCCAGTGTGGATGTTGCGGAAGTAGAACTTTCCTCGGCATGCCAAACTTATCTTCGGAAAGCTTGCACATTCCAGCATCCAAACTCAGGTTGTGAAGACCTGCATACCAGGATATACCAGGATTCAGGGCACAGGTCAACGTGGGACCTGCGCCCTGGTTGGACTCGGACAGCACTGAAACCGCGGGCGGAGCCACTCACAGTCGTTGTCTCATGTTCTCTCCAAAGTGTTGGCTACGCGACTTTTCTCCTGCCCATGGAACCTCATAGTTTAGAACTGCTCTGAATGTCAAATGACTCCTGTGCTCTTGCAGCGGGTAAGCTTCAGGCCAGGGTAGCTGGAGGATTCCTTGGTCAACTTTCTGCAATGCAAGAACTGTGCACCAACACAAGCTGAATCCTGCCTGATTCTTTGCCGAAACAAATGTCAGCTGCAAACAGGAGTTGTGGATGACCACAATCCAACTTTGTTATTCTCTCGGCAGGGCCCAGCGTGAGGCGGTCAAGAAATAAACCAAGGGCTCAACAACACATATTCATAGGAACTTGCTGAAACTAACAAGCAGCCTGCCCATGTCAGGCTAGTAGCAGTCTGCAACAAAGCAAGTTTGCATTGAATGCTCTCAATGGCTGCTGCAAAAAAAACGCCTGCATGATTTCGATACCAGTTTGGCGTCACACCTTGTTTGAATTGCATTTTGTGGTAGTTGAGACAGGTAAGTGTAAGATCGAATTCGTCCTTGGAAAATGCAGCAGGCAGAAGAAGGCTCACATTCTGACTTATTCGCTACTGGCGACTATCGAACTGGAACATGAAATACGGCTTCCATGACCTCGCTGCCAGAGTCTCGTTAGATACGCCAATCTAATCTGTCTACAATGTTGTTGGTCATGAGTGTATCCAGTATGGCTTTGGATAATTACCAGAGATGTCGTGATGGCTGCCTTAAACCTTAAACCCTAAACTCTAAACCGTAACCCTAAAATCCTTGAACCCTCAACCCCGAAGCCGTTAAACCCTCAACCCTCAAGCACTGAAACCCTAAATCCTAAACCTCAATCCTCAACCCTGAAGCACTAAAACCTAAACCCGAAACCTTAAATCCTCACCACTGAAGCACAAAACCCTGGCCCTAAACCTCAAACCCTCAACCCTGTCGACGTAACCCTCAACACATTGCAGCAAAGCCTCCAGCCTCTCCCACTCTGAGCCCGCTGGCTCCGGCACAGGAGCGGGTGCTTCAGTCCCGGGTGGTTTCGGCCGGTCCCACTGTGATTCCTGAAGGTTGGGATCCTTTCAGATGTTATAAGAAGGATATACATATATATATATATAGATATACATATATATATATAGGGACATGTACAGCGATATATATAGGGGAGTATATTATATTATAGATTGGGTACAAGTAGGGAGGCTGGGATGGTGGGATGGCTTGTATCCATGCCTGCCTACGCAGGTTCCTACGTTTGCAGCACGGGGCTAGAGTTGAAGAAGGGTGTCTGCTTCTCCAAGCCATGCACTTGTGTCTACAACCGCCTTGCCTGCGTGCGCGTGTTCCTGTAGTAGAACCTGGCAGCAGGAGTAAGAAGAAACAGTTCAATGGGCGCCTGTTTCGCGCTTGACAGCTATGACTTATAGTTCTACAACTTCAAACCACTTTGCATCATTTTGCTCACCATCCTCGCCTTAGCTTAACACAGCCTCAGCAACATCGCCCTTCTTGCATAGCGCCGGCAGTACTTCCCAGGATAC